TTGCCTCCAGAAGAACCCTGCTTCCACGTCCTCCAAGATAGACTTGCTTGTTCTTTGGCAGTTCAAGGAATATTCAGTACTCTTCTCCAATGGCACAATTCAAAGACATCTTATTCTGTCATCCTTATTCATTATCCAATGTTCAGGTGTATGAAAAGCAATTGAAAATACCATGACTTGGATCAGACTCATCTTAGCCTCTAAACTGACATCCTTCCTCTTTAGCACTTTGAAGAGATCCTTGGAAGCAGATTTTCAACAATGCAACACATCTTTTAATTTTTTTTTACTACTGTTTCCCTGGTCTTGATTGTATATCCACGTAAAATCATTAACAACTTCAGTCTACTCCGTGTATCTCAGTGGATGTCTATTGGTCCAGTGGCAAGGATTTTTTTTTTTTCATGTTAAGATGTAACCTATATTGAAGACTATGGTCTTTTATCTCCTTCAGTAAGTACCTGGAGAAGGCACACCTTACTTAATCTTTAAATGGACAATCCCTCCTCCTTAGCATTGTGGCAAGGATGGTTCTTGAAAGCAGATTTTCCCAATGCAACACATCTTCTGATTTCTTGATTGCTGTTATGAGTGTTGATAGTGGATCCAAGTAAAATGAAACAATTGTCAACTTCAGTTCTTTCTGCATCTATCACGATGCTACCTATTTGTCCAGTGGTAAGGATTTTGTTTTCTTAATATTGAGATGTAATCCATATTGAAGACACTCTAGGCTTCGATTTTCTGCAGCAAGTGTGCCAAGTCTTCTTAATTTTCAGTAAGCAAGGTTGTATTTTATGTTTATTGCAGATTCTTAATGAGTCTTTCTCCAATTCTGAAGCTACATTCTTCTTCATATTGTCCAATTTCTTTAATGAGTTGCTCAACATACAGACTGAATAAGTTTGGAGAAAAGATCCAACCCTGACATGGACCTTTCCTGATTTTAAACCATGCAGTATTCCCTTGTTCTGTTTTGATGACTGCTACTTGGTATAGGTTTCATATGAGCACAATTAAGTGTTCTGGGATTCTTATTCATTTCACTTTATAGGTCTAGTCTTTGACTAAAGATTGAACTAGAAGGATAAAGTTTGTTTCAGATTTCAATGATGACTAAGAGCATAGTCTAGGTTCTATCAGTCTGTATCAGACCAACAAGCTTTACCACTTTTGTAACTTTGTTTTGTTGAACATTTTTCAGCTGCTCTGTCAGGACCCACTACTGTAGTCCCCTTTAAAGTAATCAGCAAAGGTTAGCCAAGCCCTAGTAATTTTTCTCATTCCAGAGACATAGAAGTTGAAGTTACCAATTCTTTGAATTAATTGTTTATATACATGTTTTTCTGCCCTTCACTTTTCTTTGTTCCAGATGGGAGAGAATCAACAGCTTGATTTTAAGATGTGGAATAGTCTTTGTGGACTGTTAAACCAATTGATCTTGATAATCCTCAAGACTATAGTCCTCAATTTGTTGCTCATATGGTGGCTTTGAATCATAGCCAACTTGGTGGCACCTAACAACAGCATGGCCCTAAGGCCTAAGAACCAGCAACTCATATCCCAAGTATATCTGATTATAACTGAGATGTTTACATAACTTTGTCCCTTGCTGCCTCTAGTGTATTGTACATGGATATATTTACAGCATATTCCAATGTGCATGTAGAAATATCCTCTAACAAACATGTAAATGGTTATAAGTGTAGCCTTTTCTCTTTCGCCTCCCTATGTCTATCTTATCCCTCTGCCTATGCATCCACTCACAGATTCATGTTTCCAATTTCTGGATAATGTAGGGTTGGGTGAGTATTGGTGTTTATTTTGCTATCTATATCTCTTGTGTATTCCTTTGTGTCTTCCTTTTCTCTAATGATACATTATTGATCACTCCCAAGTATTTGTCTTTCCTTTTTATCTTCTTAAAGAATACGGTTGTATTTTCAGGCCTTATGAATATATGTGTAGAAATATCATCTATTAAAACTGTATGAAATCATGAGTATAGTTCCATTTATCTTCCCACTCCCAGTTAGTTTGCCTGCACACATATTTTTAAAATGTCTAAGGTCAATATTACCTAGACACACACAAAAAAAGGAAAGAATCAAATTTTCATAATATTTTTCCTAAACTAGAGACTATATGAAAATACACTTGGACACTGAGAATGTCCTCATAACAACTCTTTCGTGGTGGTGGTGGTGTTATGTGCTGTCGAGTCACTTGCGACTCATAGCAACCCTATGTACAACAGCCCTAAACCCTGCTCTATTCTGTGCCAATCTCACTGCCTCTGGCACACCCATCCTGATTACCACAGTCACTGAATCAATCCACCTCATAGAGGGTCTTTTCCTCCTACGCTGTCCCTCCACCTTCCCAAGCATGATGTCCCTCTACAAGGACCTGTCCCTAATTACAACATGTCCAAGGTATGTCAGACGAAGCCTCAGAATCCTTGCCTCCAAGGAGCAGCCTGGTTTAACCCTCTCTAGGATGAATCTGTTTGAAAACCCTATGTACAACTCTTTGGTAGCTTCACAATATTTATTTATTAAGCTACATCTTTAATGGACTAAATATACTCTAACATCCCTTCTCTTAGTAAGCTCCCCATGAATTAAGCTTACTTGAGGCCAATAAGACTTGGGATAGCCAGCAAGCAAGACCTGGTGACAGTGAGATCTTGGTGGCAAGACCCAATGGTGGTGGGGAGACTGTGACATTGTTTTGGATAAACTGTGGCAAGGTATGACCAAAGGAGCCCTGAGATAAAGGCCACAGTTAAAGGTTTTGCTGTTCTTGCCAGATTAGAGGAAGGAGAAGTTGACTGTTTCCTTTCGCCCTTTGGACTTTTACACACACCTTACTAGTTATTCTATTTTTACAATAATGATCTTATGCAGTGGTTATCCTTATGAACTAGCTAACTCAGCATAAAACCCTTACTTTGTCCCACCTTATATATTATTTTATGAAATCATTGCTTCTGGGTGCTGCATACTATTCCATTGTTCATGAGTGCTGCATACTATTCCATTGTATGAATGTACCACTATTTCTCAATTGTTTTGAAAGCTTCCACCTGTTCTAAATCCTGCCTTTGACTTTTCTAGGAATGTTTGGTGACAGGAAAGGTGGACATATTTTTGCCTGCAAATATGGGATCTTAAGCTTAACTATCTATAAATTATTTACCCTAAGAAAAACTGAGAATTGGATAATATTCTCTATGTTTCCTTGAGTTTTATTTCTAGAATTTGCCTGGAGTTTTGTCTTCCCAACTTCTTTCTTGAAATGAGACTCCACATGGCTCGCTCTCTCCACAACCTTCATCAAATCTTATATATAGAAATGTTACAAATAAATATATATGTGTATATGTTGTTGCTGTTGTTGTTAGATGTTGTCAAGTCAGCTCTAACTCACATCAAACCTATGAAAAAAAGAACGAAACCCTTCTCATTCCTGTGGTATCCTTACAATCCCTGCTGTGCATAAGTTTATTGTAGTCATTGGATCAATCCATCTCATCAAGGGTCTTCCTCCCATCATCAATTTTCTACTTTTCCCATCATGGTGTAAGGACTTGCCTCTCCTGATAAGGTGCCCAGATTATATGAGACCAAGTCTTCTGATAAGTCTTCTGAAAACCAAGTCTTCAACTTTATTCATAATTTGGTAACGTGTTAGCATTCACCATGGAATAGCCAGCACTGTGTCAACTCAAGGAACTAAGAGCTTCGGTCAATAATTGTTGTTGTTGTTGTTGTTGTTGTTGTTGTTGTTGTTGTTGTTGTCAGAAGTCATCAGTCAGCTCCAACTTACAGTGACCTATGGGTGGAGGGACAGCACAGGAGGGGAAGACCTTCTATGAGGTGGATTCATTCAGTGACTGGGGCAATCGAGAGGGGTGTGTCAGAGGCAATGCGATTGGCACAGGGTAGAGCAGGGTTTAGGGCTGTTGTACATAGGGTCACTATGAGCTGCAAACGACTCGACAGCACATAACAACAACAACATGGACAGCATAATACAACCCTGACTAACTATGCACTGTCCTCAAAATCTTCTGTTTTATTGGCTATGCAAAGGTATTCAACAGTGTGGATTCCATAAATTATGCACCACATTGTAAAGAATGGACAACAGTTATAAGAGATGTTTTAGGAGAAATAAGGAAGATCTGGTTGAGGAAAATAAAGATCTAAGAGTGTATCACAAAGACACAGCGTTCTCTCAGTCATTGTATATATGCTTTACTTTGTGTTTGGATCTTACAAATTTCTAACAATGAACCTATACTTTTAGCTTACCATCAAGGAAATTTTACAGCTTTACTGTGTCTCTATACCACCTTATTTCTACCTCTTGGAAAGGCCTTAGATTCAACTATAAAGTTCAGTTTGGAAAACTGAAGGGTAGCCTCAGAGGCAGTTATTTTCTTGATTTATGAGTAAGGACAGTACAAAGTTCAAAGACCTTACATCCTACAATGACAAAAACAACAATAAAACCTTTATGGATCAAAACACAGCTAAAAGGTATTATCAGTTCATGCCATGCTTTTTGCAAAGACTTGGGGTGAAAAAGAAGTTTGACAATGTCTCAAGGCACACAACTCACTACATTAATGCTCAAAGAGACAGAGGTTGAGGATACTCAGTGTTCCCATCATCTCCAGTATCTCCTCTAACAAATGACCAAGCTTCAGTTATATGTCATTTTCCAGATCTGAGGATTGAGGGTAGTGATTTGTGGCAGATTCCTTGTTTTATCCCTGGGCAGGCCAACTTGGCTTCTGTGGGTGAAAAAAAAAAAGACTCTCAGAAAGTCCAACAAGAATATGATGTTCATTCAGGGGTCCAAGGACAGCATAAAGGAAAAACAGAGGGGAAAGGCTCTCATGTATGCTTCATTGTCACCTACAAAAATGATTACTCCCCTTAGTCATGACATTAAGTAGAGTTCTTTGAGTAAGTACCCTTTTCTATTAGATTTTTGTGCAACAATCATTGGAGGACATGAAGTAACTCCTCATTCAAAACCATACATGGTCCTAATTGAAGGAAGAAATCTCTGTGCTGGAGCTTTGATTGCAAAAACCTGGGTACTGACTGCAGCTCATTGTTCAGAGTAAGTGCTTTGGTTTTATAAAATATTTATGGAGATATTCTGATTTGAGGTCATAATAATTAAAAGATGCATTAATCCCATTAAAGCTACAGGATCTCACACCCTTTCTCAAAACTTTCTCAAATACTTTCTCAAACCCTTTACATTTTAGGCACCCTGACCTAACTAAACTAAACCAAACCTAAAACTCATTCTCATTAAGTCAATTACATATCAAGATGGTCTCATGTGTTACAAGTTGAACGGTTCCATAGGTTTTCTTGACTATAATCTTCATGCAAGTGAACTACCCAAGACTTTCTTGCATAGTGCCACTGTGTGGATTTGAACACCCAACTTTAAGTCAGTAATTGAGCACAAATTGTGCCTGCCACTCAAGGACTTTCTAATTAACTCAATAGCTAGGTAGCCAAGATTCAGCCCCTCACTACCATCAAACACAGTCCTCAAATGGCAAGGCCTCTTCTAAAACCTTTACCATTTGGTGTCTCATACATAGACCCCATAAATTCTTTATTCACCAAATAAGTTCTTTATTCTTTGCCAGCTGTCATTTTCTCTCATTTCTGGACCACTGAAAACTGTTTTTCAGCTATCTGCAGTATCATTCTCTATCACAGGCAAAGTAAAACAACCTTTAAGCCTCAACAGAAATTCCAAGATTAGAACTTAAATGCAATGGAATTCTATTCTTTAATTTTTAATGAACTTTCTTTACTTTGTTATGAATAAACTGATAGAATAATGATGATATTTATAAGCCTTTTACATTTCTTTTTCTTTAAAGCACACTTGGCTACAAATAAACTAGTGATAATAATAATGAAATTTATAACATCTTACTTTTATATAATTTAAAGTTTGTTGGGTTTTTGGTAGGGTTGATCTCATTTGATTTGGTTGAAAGAAAAATGTCTTCATAGCAAGTGTATTTACAAATTAAACTATGAGATTGATTATTTTTTTATTAAAAGAGTAAATCCAGTTAAGTAGTGTTGTCTATTTCAGGATCGAAAGAGTCAAGGTCATTCTTGGAGCTCACTCGAGAACCAAAAACGAATCACAAAAACAAATAATATTAATTGAGAATGGAACTCCCTACCCATGCTATGATCCAGTCACACACGAGGGTGATCTGCAACTCCTAAAGGTAAGTTTGCTGAACTTCAAAAAAACTATAAGATTTCTGACACTCTAACCAGCTAAATGCAAACCTTTCCTTGGTGTCTCAAAAGTGGCAGGCTCAACTAAGTGGGTCCCCAAGGGTTGAACTAGAATATAAAAGGAAATGTAAATTCTATTGCTCTTTTTTTTTTTCTTTCTGTGTCTCTACAGCTGAACAAACCTGCAGCTCTTAATACAAACGTAGGTACTCTTAAACTACCTAAAAATGCCAAGGATGTAAAGCCAGGAACAGTATGTGAAGTTGCCGGATGGGGGAAGACTAATAATAAATCACCTAATCCCTCAGATACCCTGCGAGAAGTCAACGTCACTGTCATAGACAGAAAAACCTGCAATGATGAAAAGCACTATGCTTATAATCCCGTGATCGGACTCAATATGATCTGTGCTGGAAACCCCAAAGGAGGGAGAGATTCATGTGATGTAAGTGAACTAAAATGTGATGTCCCACCCACCGGATCCAGTCACACACACATGCAAAACATGATGAATGCAATGGTCCATTTGGTGGTGGTGTTGGCTTATACAGAATCCTAGTACTTTTGGGGAAAAAATTGTTAGGCTCTAGTAAATAAATTAATTACCTCAGCTCAACTAGGTTGCTCAACAAAGGTAAAGTTTGTTGTTAATGTGCAGGTTAACCCCTACTGCACCTTCTAGCTTTTATCCTAGAATCCACTGAGAAGCCATGTTTCTCCTTTTTGCTTTTCATATTTACTCGGACAGAACTAAACTTGAAAATGTATAACACTTGGGAGAGTAAATTGAAATCAAGGGCTCTTGGGCCTTTAATACCCATTCAAAACTCCCAGCCTCCCCACTTCTTGCCCTCCTGATTAATCACAGGGACTCTGAAACACTTTTCATTCCCAGACCTGGCTCAGAATATGGAGCTGGACTCCACAGTTTGATAGATCAGATGTGAGCCAGTCCACAAACAGCCTCCTCCACACGAGTCCTCCAAGGAGTGATGAACATAGACAGCAGCAGAAAAAAAAACAAAAAAAAAACAACCACAACACTTTACAGTGTGTTTATTTGCTTGTTTTCTTGGTTGGCAAACAATAACTTGTTTACACTGGATTTTCATTCATGCATGTTGTGTTTGTTTAGGGTTTTGTCCCTCCCTGAACCCATGAAACTCTGTCACCCCATGATATTCCCCCCCGCCCCCAGCCTCTCTGCTCCTTCTCTTTCCCTATTTTGATATCCAATCACTTCTTACTGGTTATCCTTCTCTTTTCACAATAATGGTACTTTACAATATTTTAAGTTAAAAATACTAACAACTCATTTTTAACTTCTCCCAAGGACCCAAAAGTAGCTGACCTGAAGAGAAAGAGTATACAATGTTAATCCCTTGGAAATTATCAAACATTGAGCTCCTTTGGTACCCCAGCTTAGCAAATATCAAGAGGGTGTTTGAGTTTAGCACTCTCTCAGTGCCCCCTCTTTGCCCTCCATCTACCACCCCCCTCTCCTCTACTACTCTGGACACCCAGGAACCCCAAAACAGCATGTTCTTAGATGCTAGTCTCCCTCCCAATAGCCAACTATCTACCACCAAATTAGATAATAATTCTCTAGTTCTCTCAACACTCAAGACTTCTTGGAATTTATTACTGATGAATCAATAAAGGACTGAGAATTTCAGACACTATTGGCATAAGAAACATGTGAATAACAGATTTTTCACATGATAACTTACATTATGCCCTCACAAGGCCAATTTCATAATCAAGACAGGAATCATTGGTAGTTTCCTATCAGTAAGTTGGAGTTGGTTCCTCAGACTAATGTGTTTGCAGAGCCCTATGTACTCTCTATATATTAGGGAGTTGTAGTGGCTCTGTGGTAAGAAACTGTGCTACAATTCCCAAAGCAGGCAGTTCAAATACACCGGTTGCTCCATAGGGGAAGGGTGGACAATCAGCTCCCCCTGGAAACCCACTAAAGGTGGGTTCTGACAAGCTAGCACTCAACAACATGTGCATGTTTCTCCCCCTGCCGGTGGATCTGACTCTGAGAAACCCAAAACGCATTGCCCTCAAGTTGGAATCAACTCCTAACTGACCCTCTAGTGGGTTTAGGAGGCTGTAAATCCCACTAAAGGTGATTGCCCATCATTTTGCCTCAAAGCTGTTGGTGAATTCTAACTGGCAGTGAAGTACCTCCTATATGTCAGCAGCACAATTCTCCACCCACTAAACCATCACGTCTCCTTCAAACACCAAGCACTCACTCAATTGTTGAGTGGGAAGCAACTTATAGCTGAGCCCACGGCGGCTTATCAGAAGCTGTGAGCCACACAGGAGGAGAATTCACAGAGCCCCTGGTAGAGTCAAGCTTGCTGAGTTTGGTAACAGTATTAATGTCTGCGGTCTATGTCATAGTTGGTGGTCCTTAAACTCCAGCCTTCCACTATGTTTAAATATGCTGGCTCTCCTGGTGGATCGAACATTGATAAGCCCAGAATTCATTGCCATCAAGTTGGAACTAACTCACAGCTGAGCTTGTGAGTTCCAGGAGAGAATAAACGCTCACACAATTGTTGGCTCTGTCAGAAAGACTAAAAAGTAGCCTCCTACAGCTAATGGCCTAGTGGTAGAAGCTGCACTACAATCTCAGAGGATTGCAGTTCGAATCCACCAGCTGGTATGCAGTATAAAGATGAGCAATCTCCTCTTGTATGATTAATTGCCTCTGAAAACCCACTGGAGGGTCGGCTATGGTCAGTCCAGACTCAACAGTGCACAACAACAACAGCTAACAGAAGCCGCACTCCTGTGGTGTCACTCAGAGTGTAAGTATCAGCTCTCACTCCTGGAGTTTTTTTCCACCATCAAATGATCCAAGGAGACGTAGGAAGACATTCATCACTAATTTGAGTGAAGGAGCAGGAAAAGTTGCTTGGATTTGGTTCCTTAAGGAGGATGGAAGGTAATTCTCTAACACAGGGAGCAGAAAACTTTTCCATGGTTTTCACTCTCTCAATGTCCCACCTGAATTTTACTATTTTGTGCCTTGAGTTATTTCATCATTTTGGGAAAAATAAAAAGCCAATGGAAGTGATTCCTTTATGAAAGTAAAGAGTCAAATAAAGTGAGTAGTCTCAGCATTAACTGACAGCAGAAACGGTAACACATGTTTCTATTTGTACTGGCTCATAAATAAGCCAAGTGAGCCAATTAAAAATAACAGAATATTTCAAAAAGTTTGGGTTGTAACTCCATATTACATGATATAAAATTTCTTCCATTTAACCAAAGATCATGTTCAGTGCTGATCCCCATCATACTTCTTGTTTTCTTCCAGGGAGATTCTGGAAGCCCCTTGATATGTGATGGTGTTTTAAGAGGCATCACTTCCTTTGGATATCTAGGGAAATGTGGAGACCCTCAAAAACCTGGAGTCTACACTCGTCTCTCAGAGAAACACCTCGTATGGATAGCTAAGACTATGAAGGGAGTAATCTAGAGAACTGTGTTCCCTTTTCTATCATTCTTCACGTTCTTCACAAATAAAATCAACTTTATGACTGTACTCAACTCTCTCCTATAACTTTAGTGAGCAAATAACCATAAGCAATGTGATGCACAATAATAAACTCATGAATAACACATTATTGTTGTTGTTGTAAGTTCATGAATAAAACATTAGAGTATCAATATCACTTGTGTCCTATGTCATCAACTCACATGGGGATTTTGTTAAATTATCTATTTCCCCCCGTAAGTGGAGCCTGGAAGATGTCAAAAAAAAGTCAAGCCTGTTGACCAACATATCCAGAAACAATGGGCTTGAACATATCAGAGGTTGTGCGGATGGCAAAGGATAGAGTGTGGCTCAGATCTGTTGTTCATAGACTCACTTTGACTGCTAGTCTACCTGTTGTTTTGCTGTGTACCATCAAGTTGGAATCGACTTATATCTAACCCTCCAGTGGTTTTTCAGAGGCAGTAAATTGTCTAGGAGGAGACTGCCAATCTTTTTCACAGCAGTTAGTACATCCGAACCGTATACCTTTGAGTTGGCAGTACAACTCCTTACCACTAAAGCAACCAGAACTCCCTCCTAAGTCACAAGTAGTTGACTGTTAAGGTTGGTGTGGGGTGCCATCGATTTCAACTCACAGAACATGTTCATTGCTCACATGTTGTCTGAACAACAGATCTGAACCTTGTCCGATCCTTTGCCAACCACACACACTCATGCCCATTGCTGCAGCCACCCTGGTGGTTGAGTCTCTTCCTCTCCTTTGCCATCCCTCTCCATTGAATAGATGACATTTGAAAAAAACAACAGTGTGTTTATAACAAGAATCAGAGTAGCTCCATTTATAACTTTTATAAGAATACAAAAACAGTTAAGACACACATGTAAGAAAGAAATGCTCATAACAATTACAGTCCTTGAACTAGCCACATGGTCATAAGTAGTATTTATCTCTTTGTCTTCTGCTCAGGTACTTCCTTTATGGTCAGCAAATACCTCAGCTGGTCTTGATTGTCTCAAAGAGTGGCTGAAACTTTCATGTCTCAAAGGTCAAAGCAATTACTACTCAAATCAGAATTGCATTGCTCTAGTTTTCTGGTGACTTTAATCATAGGGCATGGTAGTACAAAGAGACAATACAAGTAATCTCCATATTCCAAGCATATGTTCTTTAGTTCCATGATGTAATGTCAGTCCAAAAAGGGGCTGCATGGTATTCTTAACTTCCAGTTCAGTAAAAGCAATCTTCTATCTCCAGGTTAGAGTATTTCTCCCTTTGCAACTAGGACTTTCAGGCTCACAAAACAGGTCAGGAAGCAAAAATTTTACAAGGGAGTCAGTGTTGTTATTATTGTTAAGTGTCATTGAGTTGAGAATGACTCATAATGACTCTATGTACAACAGATCGGAACTCTATCCTATCCTGCGGTGTCCTTATTATCTCCAACACGCTTGATACATAACAGGTGACTGGAAAAACATGGCTTAAATCATGCACTCCTTAGCATTTAAGCTGATATCATTG